TTTCCACTTCATAAATAAGGGAGCAAGTCTGCATCATAACCAATCGCCAATATCTTTTTTAAATCTCCGAAGACCAATCTCTGGAAGAAGGAAAAACCCTATATATTGCTTCATTTAGCAGAATATGGTTCTAATATTAAAGAAAATATTAAGATGCACTATATTATCTCATTCATTTACAGCTGACCCTAAGATGCACTATATTATCTTATTCATTTACAGCTGACCCCTGACCAATGTAGGGTTGGGTGCCAACCCTGCACAGTTGAAAATTCGCACATAACTTTTGGTTCTCCCAAAACTTAACTGCTAAGCGCCTACTGTTGACTGGAAGCCTTACTGATAGCACAGATAGCCGATTACTACATATTCTGTAGGTATGTGTATTTTATACATTCATGATGTGCCTGACTTTAATTTTTTTGATATTTCTAGGCTGCATAGTTTGTCTGAGGTTTTTCCAATTGTTGCAAATCCCAACATTTTCAAATATGTTTATTGAAAAAAATCCACATGTAAGTGGACCCATGCAGTTCACACCCATGTTGTTCAAGGGTCAACTGTATAATGTGTCCTAACTGTGTGCAGACAGGACTTGGGGCACATACACTGGTAAAGCTGACCAGTAAAATAGTGAGGGCTACAAGTGATGGGCTGTACCATTGTATCCAGAGCCCAGAGTGTTGGATTTTTTAACAGCAAGGATAACTATTAAATTTTTTATTAAAGTGAGTCTGTATTAAAAGAGTCTATGTTCTGCTCCTAACATGTTACTCAAATCTGGAACGCCCTACAATTTTTAATCTTATAAAAATATCCTACAAGAATCTGTAAAATCATAGATGCTCTCTGAAGATTATGAAAAAAAATCTAGATTACACAAATAAAGAAATCACAGTAAAATGTTTACATCATAAAATCAAGAATACACTTTTATCATGAAAGATTCGTAAATTATATCAATGAAATATACAAACTAGGTTAACAAACTCATCTTTACCTACCATACATCTTGGGGAAGATTTAAAGTTATGCTGCCTTTGATTTCATCACGGAAACACATATATCCTAAGGTAGCTAATGTTACATACAGAGCCGTGACAATTCCCATGCCAATATTCAG